CACGGTTTTTAGTGTTTCTTCGAAGTGAGCATATATGCTCACTTCTCGATCACTGAAGTGACTCTGGAGCAGCTTATAGACATTCTTCGGACAATTTCTTACTTTCAATTGGGAAAGAAGGCTTGGCCACCATAAGGCATCGAATGCTCCTGACACGTTCACTGGAATAGCGGCTACGTACTTGGTCGACGAATCAGATTCTGCCTCTTCTACTATTTCATATAGTCTTCTAATGGCATCCTCTGTTGATCTGTTTGCCTTAAAGCCAAATTCATCCTCTGAAGACCAGTCCGAGCTGTTTAGAATGTTCGATATTCTTTGAATCACAAGCCTCTCGAGTGTCTTTCCAGCTATAGGGAGTAGACATATGATAGTCTATATGATTTAATCTCGTTCTCGGGGTTTTCAACCCCTTTGAGTAACGTGATTAACATTCCACTTTTCCATCTTCTAGGGAACATTCCGTATTTTAAACAGGCGTTGAAAAATCGCGTCAGTTCCTGGTGTAACGGTTTTGCATTAACAAGCATTTCTGACTCTATTTTATCTTTGCCTGGTGATTTCCCTGCCTTGTTCGCTTTAAGAGCCATTTCAACTTCCCTTGTTAGGAAAGGCGTTGCGTCGCCGGTTACTGGAACCTCCCGCATATCTCTGCGAATCTTTGCATGTGCATCGTTTTCGCAGCTTGAGTCGTCATCAGGCATTAGTCCTTCTAGTAGAGCTATGTTTGTTTCTTTCCAGTCTTTTGTGACTGAACCATTACGGTTAACCGTGCACATCGCTTTTGAGAATCTGACTTTATTGGATGTTCGTTTGTATGGATACGCCCAAGCATTCTTTTCGCTTTCAGTAGTACAGAAATCTCGCCAGCTGTTGCTTTTGGCTCTTTTAATAGCCGTTGCATAATCGGAATTCATTTGACTTAATTTTCTAAGTAATCTCTGGAGGGCTTTCCTTTGTTTTCTATTCGGTCCTTCCTTGTCTTTTAGAGCGTCGATTTTGCGTTGTCCTTGTATCGCTCGCTTCTTACTTCGCAAGTCAGGATTCCACCAGGGTTGAGAGCGCGTTCTTCTCATTTTTGATGGAATAGAGTCCTTTACTGTCCTTATTAGAAGCTCTTCAAATTTTGAAACATATGTTTCAATGTCTTCAGAGGTTTCTAAAGGGAGCTCAGATAGGTTCTTTTTCTCGAATTTACAAAGTCTCCCGAATTTCTCCCAATCAGCTTTACTTATATTGAACCTTGATTATAATGTTTCTTCTGTTCGTATGAGTTTGGCTGGTTGTGAGGCAAAATACAGTTCGATTACTATGGGCCTGTGGCCACTGATGGTCCATTCTTTCACCGCCCAGCTAGCCAAGAGGTTTAACAGATTTGATGTCTGTAAAGTTACATCGATGTCCGTCTCATCCCTCGTACTACGGCACGTTGGAAGTTGGCTCCTCCTGTTGGCCACTATTAGCCCGAATTGGTCTATGAATTCTTCAATGACTATTCCATCCTTGTCCTGTGTGTTAGACCAGATCTTTGACTTGGCATTTGCATCCATTCCAACTAAGACTCTTTTGCCTTTCAACTGCTGTGGCTGAACTGGCAGTAGACGCTTATGAAATAAATTTCGCCAAAGGCTCCGACTACTTGTGCACAAACACAGTGGGAGTCACCCAGATTAGAAATCTTGGTAGCAGTGACCTTGTGCGGATTGTAGAGTATCGCAGCTTGAATCGTTTCGCCTTTTTTTGGCTCCGTGAATGGCTGCGATACTGCCCATACCTGAAATTGCGTTATTCCAGTGGTATGGCTCTTGAACCAGTGCCACCTGTATATCAAGATTTCTGTCTGTCATGATTTCTCCGAGCTCATCGTTGGCTACTTGCCTTTTGTTGAGGTTCAGTTGTATGATCCTCACTTTCCGGTCCAGTTCGAGGTTTTGCTGTGTGTTCGAATTAAACCTCTTAACTGGTGGACAATCGTCTTTGCTTTCATCTAAATTGTTTGGTTGCGAAGGAAACTGAGTTGACGCCGGAGTTTTAGAGCAATGCTCTGATTTCTCAACGGTCGCCTCCTGCTTACGTTTCCTCGCTTTTCTATACCTAGAATGGTTGACCATATTGCTTTCGAGGTACAACGCAATGTCTAGTTATATATTTTCTCCTTAGAATCGCTAATGGCGTTTCGATTATTAGTTCTGGCGTTAACGTGCGCGTTCAAATTAAGCGAGTGGCATTCGAGTGTGAGCAGTGAGTATGTTTGTGCGTATTGACTTGAGCTTCGTTCGTTACCTTATCGAGTTTCCCCATGGTTTTCCATGACTCTTATATTTACAATTAATTGATTGAGCTAATTATTTTCCTAGCTTTCTAACTTGTTGTTAGATTATTTAATTATTTTGATTTTATTTCTTTTCTTTTATTTGATTTGATTTGATTTGATTTGATTTAATAATTTTAAAATCTTTAATTTTTAATTTTAATTTTTGATTGGTAACTTTTCTTAATCCTATTCTTAATACTACTGCTTATATTACTGCTTAAATTATTGTTAACTGCTTAAAACTAATTTGATTTTAATATAACTTAATACTACTTACGAATGTACCGGCGTGTTTAACTTCACGCTAGGTTTGATATTAATCAAACCTCGTCTTGGTCAGGGTTAGGTGTTTAACGAATTGCAACCAAAGTAGCACTTGAGTGAGCATGTCGGGTTTTCGCCTTTTCTATCGTCTTAGCCTGTATTCACCTTTAGCAGCACTGGATTTGATGGGCATTTAGTGCATGGTTCGCGTTGAATGTTTGGGCGTTTACAGGCCGCACCTCACCACGTGTTGTCATGGTCCGTGTTATTTATTTATTTATTTATTTTTTTTTGTTTGGCCGGTTGGCCTTTTGCCCTAGGGGCAAGCATTGTATGTTTTGCCTACTGTTTCTTTACAGAGACAGTTTTCAGCCCCACCACGTGAAGGTACACACATCCGCACTTGTGATTGCAAGTCTTCGTTCAAATACACATTGCATTCACTTCGGGTCGACTAGCATTAGTTGCTTGTCGAGTACAATCGGTGACGCATTTTGTACTTCAGCATTTGCATTTGCATATGCCCGTACAGGAAAGAGAAGTTTACGATATCCTCTCCCAAAACAACGAGTTGTTTGTTTGAGAATTCTCCATTCTCTGTTGAGGAAGACAATTACTGTCCGCCGCTTTGACAAAAGATTTTTGCACAAAATGACCTGGCCAGCCTCGCGGCGGGCCATATGGTGCACTATGTGCATCATTTATGTTTTTGCTAAGCGGACCATAATCGAGCTTCCTGAGAGCGTCGTGATTGCAGCCACCGACAACCTTCAATAATACCAGAGAACATAAGAGATAGAATTACAACAACGTGCCAAGCAATAACTCCTCAAATACTTAGAAATGTGCAGAATAATTTTTGCCATCAATTGCAATTGTGCTTAGAAAATAATGGTGGATACTTTAACATGTGATTCATAATTAAATCAATTGCTACAAAATATTATTAAGCTAACTTGCTGAACCTCTACAGGATCTAGCCAGAACTGGTTGGATCTCTCCACGACCGTGCCTTAACTAGCTGAGTCTTTAAACATAAAAACTCTTTCCTAGGGGCTGTAAGACCTTACAGATGGTTGGAAGGCTTAAGCACTGAATATAAGTAGCTGAAAGCCAGTTTTAACTATGTGAGTTCACACGTTATCGAGCCCCGTAGATGTTTAAATCAGTGGAAATCAAGAAACAGCCCGAAATATGCTAGAAAGTGTGAAAATAAGGGTACCAGAGATTCATCATTCAATTAGAAAATATCATTTGAAGGTAGAATTTCATGCAGAATTTGAATCTCTAGTCAAAGATACAGGTTCCAATCGAAAACGCAACATTGACTTTGATATGACCTGGGGAGGGGGGGGTTATTGTGGAGATCATCCGTATCCCACACATATAGTTTTATCTGAATGTAGATACCCCGAATAAGCAGCGAAGGAGAAAGCGAAAAAAAGAGATAGAGAGAGAGAGAGAGATGGAGAGAGAAGGCACGCGCCTACTATGCAGGTATAGGCAGGAATGCGATGCACGACCGATAAGCGTTGCATCGTATACCGTCTAAAAAGAAGTAGGTTAAGAGAGGATGAGAGAGAAAGAGCACGCCTGTGACTGCGAGTAGGCCGCGGCAAGTAGTCATTAAGTAGATCTCTCACGGGCTCCTTGACTTAATAAAGTAGAGCTAGTAGCAGAATTCAATAGTCTGACGCAATAAGGTTTATTAGCCTGTGTAGAAAGAGGCCCTTCGCTGGGGAGAACACCACGAAGAAGACGCAGGCATCACATTCATTAACACTTAAGAGAAGCCAAATCATCACGAGGACGACGGTATCCCTTCGTGCTTCGGTCTTACAGCGAGATCTGAATTGAAATTGATCTAATTTGAAAAACCGAAACATTCTCTCGATCCCTCTTAACTTCTGCGGTATGAGTGACAGTGAACGGTACTTCAGATACATTCTCGATGTTCACATGGAAACCGTCAGACAGAACCAGGCGGAGGGCCCGCTGAGCCACCGCAGGAATTGACGGAATAAGCTATAGAAAAAAAAGTAGTAAAGTGAGTCCCGCCACTCGGAATTCTCTTAAACTAGTTTAAAACTTAGCTCATCCTTTACAACTTCGCGATGATGTTTCATAACTATCATTCCATACATAATATCGTATGTCATTAAGTAAAAAAGCGGTTGTACCATTTGGAAACGTTATAAATAGTCATGTATCTAAAACTTTATAGTAAACTAGAGAAAGTAAGGAAATAAAATTTATACTGGCAGTTAAATTACTTTTTACTCGCATTGTTATGAGATTAAAAAGTTATAATTATTATCTTAAAATTATTATCTTGATAAATATTGATTCAACAATATCCAAGAACGACGAAGCTAGAATAACTTGAGCCGAATTAATTAGAGAAATTGTACTTAAAACTTACTTTGTTATTATCTTAAGTATTTCTGGTATGAAAGGTGCTGCTAAACAAGCTTCGCGATGAACGAATGTTCCAAGTACAATTATGAATAACCCAACTTCTTCATCAGAATATTCTTCCTTGGACAAGCCGCATTCGGAACAACTAGAAGATAATTGAATATAAACTATTTGAAAATTGATACTGAAATAAAGCAACAATATATTTATCTATTTGTGTGTTAATTTTATTTTATTTATATGGTTCTATAGGTCGATATATTTCCTTATTAAATATATATTATACAGGTCATTCTTAGTTGCCCTAGAAAATCATAAATGGGTTTAAACTTTTTCTCTGCTATTTATTTTACGATGCTATGTGGCCAAACACTTGACTTGAAGCCTTTATACCCGATCACTGCTGAGTTGTAACTACGCAACTCAGCACTCACCGAAATTTCAGAGTGCAACGTACTGCTAAGCTTAGCATTCTATGCGGTGCATTGTACTGCTAAGCCTAAAATGAATTTATTTCATATTCTAATAATGTTATTTTTTAGTGTAACGAAAGGTTGAAATGATTTTTCCAGAAAAATACCATTGTATTGGGATTCTTAATTATACAATATAGATTTTTCCATTGTTTAAAGTCAGATGAGTTTTGCAGTTGATCGAAAAAGTTATAAACTCCCTTCTCCTTGTCTCACTGTCATCCGAATATCCTATTGAACTACATTTAAAATTTTTCAGTAAAAAAAAATTAGAAAAATTTTTTCAATACGTGATGGCGAGTGATATGATTTAATTCCAAAAAATTTTTCCAAGTATTAAAACCGAGGCTTAATAGTCTCCAAACGGCAATAAAATCTGTACTCACTATTGGTGTAAGCGTGTGTTCTTTCACCCAACGCGCTCTCTCGTTTGCATGCAAAGGGCATGCAGCCGCCGAACACGTGTTCGGAGAGTGCCAACATGTCGATAAGAGAAGAGGGCCAGAAAACTGCGACTACATCCTGTTATTATCCTAACCAACGTATTTCCCTCTTTCGAGATGGAAATGAAGCATTATAATTAATAATATATTTTTTTTAATATAAAAATTTAACTTCCGCAACGTGTTTCAAATAATTTTGGTCCCTCAAAACCTCTTACCGATTTCTCGCTCCGGAGCTTAGTTTAAGCGGAAAATAAAAGAAAATGAAAAAAATATACGTTAATTTTAATAAGTTCTCTGTTATTTGGCGAACTTTTATTATAAGAAATTAGGAAAAATTAGCTAGTAAACGGCCAGTTAATTTATATAAGAATTTTTGTTCTCCGATAAAAATTTTGAATAAATAAAACTACGCAAATAATTTAAAATTCTTGAAATAATAATAGACTGTCCACAAATTTGTACAATATAGCGTATGAAATAACAAGCGTTGCCTTATTTTTATTATATTTTATTACTACACAATTAATAATTAACTGTACCTTTCAGCGGATTTAATTGTAATATTGTTCTTAGTATTAAGAAATATATAAGTAATGTATGGTTGATTAGGTTTGATCCAAATTCAATTATTAAACAATTGTAAAATTTTTGAACAAATCTTCGTCGCAAACAGTACTTGAAAAGCCATCTCGCGATCTGAGGCCTGTACTCCAGTATCCGCGCCTCCGATTTTCCCTCGCCCCCATTCCAATTAGGGCCCGAAATCCAAGCGAGGAAAAATCGGAAGAGACAAGCAAGCCAATTAGCACGCCATCACCTGCTCCATTCATCCCGAAATCGAGAGGTTGAGAAAGAGACTAACCCAACCCCCCCCCCCCCCCCCCCCCCCGCCTGAGTATACCACAGGCTGTACAAGACCCAAAAACAGAAATTCTTCTCGTGCTTCCAGCGAGGAGCAGAGCAAGTAGAGCAAGCCACGGAAGTCAAACACCCAAGCAGCCAAATAAGTCAAGAAGCAGAGCGAGCCAAGCAAGACATCAACTAGTACAGAATAAGAGCATGCGTGTCCAGCAAAAGGTGAAATTTTCAATAAAATATTGAGCAAATAAAAAATTTTCTAACTCATCTATCTCTCCACTATCTTAGGAATAGCTCGTGTCCTAAATATTCGTTCTTTGTATTTAGAGACTACTATTGAGAGGATCTAGATACAATTTTTATAGAAAAAACTGGGTTCTACTATCTATAGGACACGGGGTAAAGATTTAAGAAATAGCTTTTCTAGCGAATTTTGCCGCCGATTAAATAAGCAGTAGTTTTACGGTAAATTGCAGCAGCGAATGCAAAGAGAGAACGAGAAGACCTTTAAAAATTTCAACGACTTTAAAGAAGCGGAAATGGTGTTTGAAATCGCATGGTCAGGTGGAAAAAGGGACACTGGCAGCCAATCACCGACGCGATGTTGATCCCAGAATCTACGTACGCCGACATCAAGAAGTCTCAGAATATACAGAATTCCGTTGATATCAGAAATATTAATAACATAGAGGACATTAATAACATAGAAACATAGAGGGTCTTAGAAATCTATCCATAAAAATAAATAAAATAATAATATAAAGAAAAAACCCAACAACAGAAGAAATACCAAGCTAATTGATTTGCTGCTAATGACATTAGCAGTATGCTTTCTCGAAGAGATAACAAAATTGTATACGAAAAATTTAAATCGTACTGTATTAAGAAGTTAAATCCAGTTTATTTCAACCATGAATAATCAATTCATTTGACATTTTTTATTATTTTTAAATTTGTTTTGGCATGATAATCTGATTGCAATGTTTCTTTGATATACAGCTCGATTCATTCGAATGTATTGCTTATTAATTGAAAGCATTTGATTTTTCACAAGTTAATATACATGCATATACTATATCTATATAGGAATCCAGGTATTTATTTAATAATTATATCTATTATCTACGGTTTTGATAATATATTATCTGCATTCAGAAAAAAAATTATGTCCTTTATGCGAGGGCATTATTGATAAGAATTTCATCAGTAGGAATTTATTGGAATACAATAGGCAGGTAAGTTTATATATATTTATAGAAAGAGATAGTGATTACTATAAATTGTATTATTTAATAAGAAATATAATAAAACTTAATTATTTCAGTTTGAAATCATGGTGGAACAACAAAATTGGTGACAAAACAGAATAATTAAATAAATATTGTCAAATATGAATTGTTAGAAATTAAATTCATGAAACAATAAATATGTTCAAAGAAAAATATAATGATAATCGAGGTAGGTGAAACCAATTTCATGGTAAGATACAAAATTGATGTATTTTTTAGGGCCTTCGATGTTCCAAAATGCACATACTTAGAACCATCAATAACTTTTTTATTTATATAACCCAAATATCGTGCAAATAAAAAGTCACTATTATCTAATATCTATAATTAAACGTACTAAATTTAAGTCAGCTAGATAAGAACTTGACGAAATACCGGGAGGCAATACAAATACAAGAAAGCATATATATAGGTAACGGGTGAGCGAACAACAAAAGTCAGAATCTATAAGCTTCTAATTATTTTAAATGAACAAATCCATTAAATTCTTATAATACACCATCGACAGTGAGTTCATCTACAACAAAAGAAAAAAAATTACGATACTTTTTTCACATTTTCGAGGTCGCTGATCACGAATATGGTGATTACAAAAAATGTCCGGATCCCAAAAAAAATGTTCGTGCGTATGTGTGTGTGTGTGTGTGTGTGTGTGTGTGTGTGTGTGTGTGTGTGTGTGTGTGTGTGTGTGTGTGTGTGTGTGTGTCTGTGTGTACGTATGTTGTCACTTTTTTAGCCCTCTCAGCTAGAAGCTACTGCGGTCGAATGGTACCAAATACGATTATAAAACTTTGCAGTTATTATTATCGTTCCAAAACTTAGAAATGGTAAAAATTTCAAGAGAATGAGTTGATTTAAGCCTGAGTTATAATCATTTTTGATATGCCGTTTTTGCTTCCCTTAAAGAGGAGGCAACGAGGAGGTCCGATGAATTTTGAAAAAAATCTGTTTTGTCACCAATTTTGTTGTTCCACCATGATTTCAAACTGAAATAATTAAGTTTTATTATATTAGTAGGTAAACGAGAGGGGCCTCAACTCAGAGGGGTATCAGCTCACTGAGTTGAAGCGTGTGCATGTTCACCTCCCCCCCCCCCCCGATCGGCCCGTGCGCTGGCGACTCCCCCCCCTCCTACTGAGTTATACCGGTGCGTTCTACGCACTCCCCCCTCCCTTATTGAGTTGATCTGATGTGGCGTGCGTTCTCCCCCCTCTCCCAGTCTACTGATTTGATTCCTATGCGCGCGTCACCTCTCCCTCCTCCTACTGAGTTATACCGGTGCGTTCTACGCACTCCCCCTCCCCTATTGAGTTGATCTGATGTGGCTTGATCTGATGTAGCGTGCGTTCTCTGCAGCACTTTCCCCTCTCCCACTGATTTGATTCCTATGCGCCCATCACCTCCCCCTCCTCCTACTGAGTTATACCGGTGCGTTCTACGCACTCCCCCTCCCCTACTGAGTTGATCTGATGTGGCTTGATCTGATGTGGCGTGCGTTCTCTGCAGCACTTCCCCCTCTCCCACTGATTTGATTCCTATGCACTGCGCGTGCGTTCTGTGTTACGCGTTTTGATTTTTTTATTGTGTGTGTGTGTGTGTGTGTGTATGTGCGCGTGTGTTAAAAATTTTTAGATTTATCTGAAAAAAAACGGACGGATCGGGGGATCGAACGCGCGTCCTCCGGATCCGCAGGCCGATTCTCTACCGCTAGAGCTACAGCCACTGTTACCGCGGCCAATACCGTATTGTGTATACTAGCTACACACGATTGATATGTGGGGGGCGGCGCCGGCGGCTGCTGCTGCTGCTGGGGAGGGCCCAAGCGCTAATACATACAAATGATAATAAATTTTAATAAATATACTAATTATAATAAATATTATACATAAATATTTATCATAATTGGCATTGTAACGGGGTAAAACCGTTTAATTATTATAGTCGCGCGATTACATTAAAAGGACGCGCGTAATTGTCAATGCTCACTACATATCCGGGAGAGCACGAGAAAGTATGCGTCAGTCAACCAATAATTATTAATAACCTATACTAAAATGAGTGGAAGCTATGAGGTAAAAG